TCTCCCATTAGCATGCGAATCTCTCACATTAACATAACCACCTTGACGCACTCACCGTGAAGTATGCCTGGCAGCCCTTTGCTTGGTAGAAAGCCCAACACCACCGCGGTCGCTGCCCACCACTTGCATTGGCATTGGCTGCTGACATTTCGGCTATGCCCATTTCAAACCTTTAAAAGCAGTTGTCCTTAGAAGCTAACCCCCCTTTTCCTGATGATGACCGCTTGTGTTGTGATCGAAACGTCGTAGTTTTTTGTTATTTTCTTTGAACTTATCTGCTTGACTTTACCGAAAGACCCAAAGAATATGAATTCCTGCAGTCACGAAAGCTTTAAATCAAGATTAATTTATTGTTCTGCTATTTGGTGGTATATAGCAACACAAGGTAAAATGTTGGTTACCTGGAGAAAAAAACTATGAGCGTGATACATTCAAAAGAGCCTGGGCCAGATACTGTAGTTAGTTGTATGCAAGGGAGGTCATTTTACACATATACTGTCACACCTCTTCTTGCTTGTGTAATCTGAATATATTATAGCCTTCAAACTATACGAGGCTATAATTGATATACGAGGTAAACCTTGTTTCAGACAGACAGAAGATGTACAGGCATACATTATTGAATTAAATTTTGAATTGTTCAAATGTAGCTATGAGGCCTCTAATGTTGACATGGACAATGCCAAGATCCTGTCTGTGTTTTTTAAATTTAGTTAAGGTGAGTGATGGAGAAAATGTGGCAGTAATGGGACCAGGATTCGTTTCAATACCTCACCTAATCGACAATATAAATATTAATAGTTTCACAATGTATTCTACGGGTGACGGGAACGAACAATATCATGAAATTGAAGAACATTGTAAACTGGAGGAAGACAATTCACAAAACATGGGAGATGCCAGTGTTTGATAAGGCCCGATGTGTGTAATGGATGAGGTGAGAGTGACGGTGTAGTTCGCTCTACCAGCTGTTCCAGGCAACTCAGTAGCACCACACACACCAGCCAGGGGGAAGAGCCCTCTTGAGCACTGGCCGATCCTCGAGGCCATGGCCACAGCACTGGGTCTTCGTAGAGTGAACTCCCAAAGCAATGGCTGAGGCAGCAGAGCAGCTACTGGCCTCGGTAAACGTCAGGCTCCGGGGTCTGGGTTGTAACTCCTGTCGCTGCGATATTGCAGCAGAGCAGCTGGGGGTCCTCAGCCTACGCGCGGTGCTGTAGTTGCAACGGCGCGGGACCTCAACTCCATGCTCTTCATCAACAGGGGCGTTCATCCGTGAGCGGGGAGGTGGCCCTGCTCTTTGGAACTCGGCTCCTCTGGCCGAGCGACACAGAGCGCCGCTCCACGTCGATGAGTGGCCGCGGCCTCGGGCGTGCCGTTAGTGCCGATGGGCAGTTCCCGGATCCACATGGAGCTCTCCGCCGCCCACTCCGCCGCCCACCTCCACCTTCGTGTCCACGGGGCTCCCCCCTCGGTGCCCCCATATGGTTTGAGGACCCCTCAGACCATGCGCGCGCACAGTGGCACTGCCAGCCTCGCTATTCCACAGAGCTCCGGTGCCAGATCCTGGGTGCCAGTTGCGCGTGGTTCTGTAAACTTGCTGATCTTGTGAAGGGCGGCAGCCCCACGTGCTTTGTCAAAAGCCACTGGTGTTGGTGGAGGACCGTGAGCAGAGGCCACGTAGAGAGCATTGCATGGACCAGCGTGGTGAAGTATGGCTAATCAGCCAGCAGTAGATAGGCCATGGCCGCTGCTTCTGATGTATTAGTAAAGGCTTGGGGAGGCCTTCATCCAGTAGTGGAGAGACCCTGGGTGATGATGCTAGAAGACTAGGAACATGGTGAGGAGCGGTAGTGCAGCGGTTATTGTGCTGCACTATGAACCTGGCAACCCAAGGTTGATTCCCGCTCACGACCAACACCAGTGACAATTATCTGAACCGGTCCTGGGCCTCTCCTAGGTCGATTCAAATAAGAACCTGATGCGGTGTGTAAACATCGCCACTGGGGACACAAAATAAAGCCGGGCACGGTGTTGGTCACCTCCTTGTATTCAACAGCACATTGCTTCATCAGTCTGTTATGGTTACATGGGGGGATTTATGTCTTAGTTCTTGCAGATCGTCATGTGTCAGTTTATATTGTTGCATCTAACGGCCGGAGATTTTGGGCGTGAAGATGACGTAAACGTTGGTGGTTTTCTTGTCCATTGCTCATTTTGGTGACGTGAACCGTGCATCTGTTGTTGGCGTGATTTAGCCGAATTGTGGTAAGTAACGGTGGCATCGCAAGGTTGAATATTTAAGTAGAATCTTGATTTGAAGCTTTCGTGACTGCAGGAATCCATACTCTTTGGTTTTTTCGGTAAAGTCACGTAGGTCTCAAATAAATAAAAACAGTAGAGTTCAAGTTTGTGGTGGTATTTGCGAACGGATACATATTATTGGTCCACTTTAGTGTTTGCATTGTGGCGGAACATGTACATCTCCTTGTAAGGTTTCTTGAATCACTGTCCAGTCAGATCGATGGCCTCAGTAGACTTCAGCCTCCGGGTCTGGGTTGTACTCCTCTCGCTGCCATATCGCCACCCGATTCATTTTGGAAGGTTGGACGTCAATTTCTTCATTAACAACATTTCTGATGGTGGCTGGGGATTTCTGCTGCTTTTTAAATACATTTTCCTTTTGGGCTTTTTGAGTATTTTTCTTATGTATGCATATTGCCACGTGCGGTATTGATCTTCTTGCTGATGGGTGGTGATAGGTCCTAGAAAAAAAAACTAAAGCAGAGAAATGTTTCAGGAGAAATGTCATCAGTAGCTATGTTGTGTCCATAGCTGGATGAAAACCTTCCACGTGTGGTCTCCATCCCACAGGATCCCATGATTCCACAATCCATGCAGCCAGTCGAGCCCTCAGTTTATGTGGGCTCGAATTGCTGCATCTGTTCCACTGGGTACAATTAACTTTTATGATCTATGCTGGCTTGCTGCCACTAGAGGACGCGCTAGAGGGCATTTCGTCTCTTCTTTCACACTGGCCAGACGTGTTGAAAGAGTTGGAAGGTACTCACACTTTACCTCACCACATACGACCAGCCAATCGACTGTGATTTACCGGTTTATAGTGTAAACTATATCATACCAGACATTCTTATCGAGGAAAGAAGAAGGCATCGAAGCATTTCCACACTGCCCCGTGAAGGGGGGGGGGGGGGGCATAGAGGTGGGAAAGGCACACGGGTCGCTCCGCCAAAGAAAGGCAGTCGTGTCCTGTCACCAGGGCACCGATATCTCGCTTCCAGCCCACGCCGCCTGCGCCGTCCGATGGGCCCCCACCTCCAGCATACCAATTCATAAACATCCCAAATCCCCCCTCGGGGCCGTGGACGATCGATCTCCTGTACTTCTTTGCTCGCCATCGCTTCTCCTAGGGTCAGAAAGTCACATTTTTTCAGCTAACATGGACTTGTATTTTAGCCGGATAGAGCAGTTGGGGACGTATCCCCCTCTCTCCCCACCAGGTCCCTGTGCAAGAGTAGAAGATTTCTCATCCTCGAGTCCACCGGGGTTCGATCTGGGGTAATGAAGACCCGGTTACCCTTTATCTGGGTACATTTTCTCGTGTTGTTCTTGCTATCTTCAGTGCGTCAGAGGCGCCATGATAGGTTGCAAACAAAATCCGCAGATCTCGGGTTTTGCTAGTTTTGCCGGATCGGCAAAACTAGCTGTACTTTAAAACTTGTAAATAAAAACAAGTTTTAAAGTACAGCCAATCGGGTGCCTTGAATGCCCTCTTCTTCATACAATGAGTAGGCCCTGATTTGGAAAGTGTCCGGACCACTTTTCTACGACATGGACTGATTTTCCCAGTGCTCGTTTTCCTTACACCCATAACTCTATCAACTAGTTTCGCGACACGTTCCCATTGCACCCATCTGATACTGATGCGTTGGCAGTGGTGCATAACCTCAATGAACAATAATGAAAACATTAATCAATAGCACTGTGGCCTTAAAGAAAAAAATATATAATAGGCGACGTTTTGGGTAATCGCCTTTTTGCTTAGCACGTAAATGTCAAAGTATTGTTGTGCTTTTAAGAATGGCCATTTGTCCAAAACATCGGCGACATTTTTCCTTTAAAGGCCACGGTGTTATTGGCAAAGTATTGGTTTCATTTTTTAATAAAAGAAACCTACATCTCCCTGGCTACGTGTGAGCCACGGATTTCTTTCTAACATCCAGTCTTACCTAAGCGTTAAAATAACCTTAATCTAACAATCTACATCATTTTTATGCAAAAACACCTGTCTTTTGACTTGAACCCCAAACTTGATTCATTCGTTCACTTGCACCTGTCTCAACCTCCTAGGCTACTTGTCTACGTCTCACTATGATGCCTGAGGTGTATTTGCCTCGTAGCAATTGACAATGATCACCAGTAAACTTCATCCGTTGGTTATTGAACCCGAGGAACTATGCACACGCATGCGTCATCGATCTTTGATTCAAGCCGCACAAAATGACGTCACCCGGCGCATGCTGTGGCACTTGCAGGCTCCAGTCAGGGACACAACAGCATTGTCGTCCTAGATTTGAAGTTTTCGTGACTGCGAGGATCCATACTCTTTGGTTCTTTCGGTAAAGTCACGTAGGTAAAAAATAAAATAGAAAAAGAAAAAATAAATAAATAAAAGTAAATTCAATCACGACGTTTCGATTGAAACACAAGCAATCATCATCAGGTGTGGAAATCACAGCTAGAATTTTTTTTTACTACAAAATTCTAGCTGTGATTTTACAAAAAAAAAATTCTAGCTGTGATTTTCACACCTGATGATGATTGATTGTGTTGCAATCGAAACGTCGTGATTTAATATACTTTTTTCTCTATTTTAATCTCTTATTTTTATTTTTTACCTACGTGACTTTACCGAAAGAACCAAAGAGCATTGTCGTCATTATTTGTAGCGACCCTCACGGGCTGCTCCTCCTCCCCAGGTGTACATATGAGCCATGCATTGGGGCCATAGCCATTAAATATTTTTAAAATGGTTATCAGAGAGTTCAGGGCAGAACGTTATTTTACACCAATGATAATTCAGACTCCAGGCAAAGTGGTTAACTGTTTAATGTGTTTTTCAAAATTCAACAGGTGATATCCGTGAATGTTCACTTTAAGGGTAGAGTACTGGCGCATGTGTGTGATCATATTTTATATTTCAGTTTTCAGGCAGAGTGAGGGAGTGCCGAAGGTTGTTTCTGAATATTTCAGGTACACGGTCGATTTATTTGGAGCTCAATTAGAAAATTGCATCACTGCTGTTCTTGATGAACTCATGTCCAGCCGAACAAGCACAAAGAGAACAGGGAATGTGCACGGTAACTGGCTGTCACCCGAGGTGATCGTTGCAAAGCAGATGTGGAGGAGGCTGAAATGTCTTTGGAAGAAAACTAGTTTCGAACCTGTCTGACTCGCTTTCAGAGCGGCTTGCAGATTTGCCAACCGACTCATCATTGAGTTTCACAGATCGTTCTATTCTGTGCACATCAATGACTCGGTTCGTGACCCCTATGCTCTATGGCACGTTGTGAAGGGTCTGCTGCCCGGTCTGTGCACAGTACTTGCGTGGTGATCCTGCCTCCACCGTGCACTTTCAAGAAGGGAGAGTTCACCGTTGATGAACTTCCCAGGCTTCTACATTTCTGCAACCTGTGACCAGAGGGCGTTCGACGTCTACAGCATCGCTGAGTATGAATGCCGTGAGTCTCTCCAGCATTCACCCGACTGAAACTATTGACGGGCGTGTCTTCACTGCATCAGAGCGCTGGGGTCAGAGGCTGCAAGCTGCTCCTGCATCAGAGCTGCTCCTGCATGAGGCCAGGAAGAGTGTCCAGAGTTAAGACTCCATTGTCCAGTTGGGGAACTTTCGGGGAGATGCGAGTGGGTTGGATAATGTAATTGTTTAATGTGATGTTTCGTTGTTGTGTTAATTATTAAAGTGTATTTTGGAAGTCAGTGGCTCCCTGATTCGGTTGACTGTGCTGGGGAGTGGCTGTAATGCCGGGAGCTCAGGTGCACTGGACTGCTTTACGAGGGGTTGGATAGAGGTCCGGTCAAACTCCCCAACCCTCACGATCATCAGCTGCTGAGCTACTGGAACCCAAGAGCAGGGTCTGCGATGTGAATAGCACAGAGCTACCTCTGAGATTCTTTCAAGTGACCTCTAATCTATAGAGTAGAAAGTAGCATTTTCTCACCCACCCTTGCCACTGACTGTCATGCTCGCCACGTGGCAGTCAAAACTACGTTTTAATGCTCAGAGATGGATTTTTTTTTAAATCAAGTGCGGATCCGAATTTAATATCATCGGTCTCTATGCGAGTCCTTCGTGACTGGGCTCAGACCATCAATTCACTACACAACAGAACCCATTTTAAATCGCAGGCAGTGGATGAAATCTGGATTTGAACCCAGGATCACAGCCTTACCAGCACATCACTCTGAACTCAGGGCCACCATGGCACCTCTCTCCACCTCTACAGTTTATTTTCTTAAGTTTAATATTTAAACTTTTATGTAGAGTGATCGAGCAGCTCGCAATAGGAAGGTTGCGAGTCGGTTAGTGGGTTTCTTTGGCCCATCATCCTTCGATTAAACAAATATTATTTTGTGGGGGAAGATCAAAATTGTTGTCATGTGGAGAAACTCCCCCCTTACCATAGGAATGTGGAATTCCCATCAAGGACTCTGCAGGTTCTGTAAACGGGAGATGAGCATAAATGCTTCAACGCTCAACGTTAGCAGCAGGAAATCAACGTGAGCTTTTTGAAAACCAACGCACATCCCCGGTCACTCCTCGAGCTGGTCACTTTGTGTAAGCGGCGCAGCCTCGTTCTGGCACGTGGCAAAGGAGGAGGAGAGGGGCTGCGCGTGGCCGTAATTTCTTGAGTGGAAGAGACGCGAGATCTCGACGAAGGACCGGTCCTTTGTCTCGGGGAGGAGGATGCACACAATAATAGATCCCATGACGCAGTCCACCATGAAGAACACGAAGCAGTAGGGCCCCATGCCCTCCTGATAAGGGCAAAACCAGAAATAAGCATCAGCAGTAGCATGTGTGTAATATGTTAAACTTATTTCGCACCGTACGTAGCCAACCGCGCTAATTGGGAGAAAAGGCAACAAAGTAAACACAAAAATCATTTTGTGTTTAGCATCACCAATCGACTGCTGGTTTGACTCACACTCTGCTCACACTGTTAATGGTGAGTCAGTGTGAGTCACTTTCACACACTCCCTCATACGCAAAAACTCTTGCGCTCCCTCACACACAGAGACAAAGATTCCAAATATATCCTTTAACATACTATTGGGACAAGAGCTGTTAGCAAGCATCTGACTCATTCGCACTTGTTCTCACCGTCACTTTCACTATGACTCACACTCATACTCTCACTCACTCTTACTCACTAACTCTTTACTCGCCCTTTTGCACGAGCTCGCACTCGCTCACATTCATTCCTCATACTCTCACTCAAAGCCACCAACTCTAATTCGCTTACACATTCGCTCTCACCACAAGAAAAGGGAAGAGGAGGCCAATGAGGAAGAAACTGAACCAGTTGACGCTGCCGCTGATGACGAACGCGGCCGAGCGCGAGTCTTGCATGAAGAGCTCTGCTGGCAAGATCCCCATGATCCCTCCTGGGGTCGCGCAGGGATCACGTATGGGTCATACACGGTTTTATGATGACGATGGTAGCAATTGCCGTGATTGAAGTGACACGTGCCGTCTCATCACCACGTGAGAGACCTCTCCTCACCGGGGCCGATGCCGAAGCTGAGGATGTAGGCAAAGGTGAGAGCCACGCTGAGGTAAGGCATCCAGATAGAGCGCTCCTATGCCAGGGTGAAAGGAAGAGTAACGCCACATCATCATGACATTTTTAATTCAGCATCGTCATTCAACTTAATCGTCAGCTTCGTGAACATTATCATCAGCTTAATAATTATAACTATAAACTAAACTATGTTTTTTTCCAGTTAAGGCCCACTGAGCTATACAGCTATTTTTCAGAAGCGACCTGGCCACAAATGATAGCTGAACGAAATGGCTTATCACGTGGAAATATATAGCAGGAGAATACTCTAAACCCATGTTGATTCTAAATGTGGAAACTGGAGAAAAATACACGCGACCACGGGGAGAGAGATTTGGAAAGTTCAAATACACAGGCGTCAGGGTCTGGATCGAACCCACGACTTCCTGTATACCAGGCGAGGTAATTAACATATTGCTACCATGGGGCCCTCATCAACGTAATCAACAAAATTAAAAGTTTTGTTCATTTAATTTTTTTCATTCATGTTTGTATTTCGTACGTCACATTTTAAAAGCTGGAACTAAACTAATCAATGTGAATAGCTATGGAGTGTTTGGCATTAAGCCGTGGGTGATGGAAACAGTCAAGGGAAGGAATTGCATTTTGTGCAAACAGGGTCCCAATTAAACTATAATAGCCTCGTGCCCCCCTTAAAACATAATTTGGCCTTGGAAGTAGTTGCATTTTCTGCGAGATTGTTGCTCCTACCTGAAGTGCCAGAGACACGGTGATGGCTGCACAACAAAGCGACATGAGAACATAGCCACACAGCAGCAGAGGTCTCCTGCCCAGGCCATCCACCAGCATGCCCTACACACAGAGAGAAAGATCCCCCATGTAGTGGCCTTTAACAGACTGTTGGCTTTATGCTGTTCTCGAGTACCTATTAAGACCAACACAGCACAGGAGGGGGTGGTTGACCATCAAAACACCCTTTGTATCTCCAATGGTGATATTTACACACTGCACATTCCCTGCAGCTGTCATTGTCTCTGTGTACTATAGCTGCTGTGCCAGTATCTTTATGTGTTCTCAGCCAGGGCTGGAAATGGGAATACATGATTTTGGATCTGGATCATACAAACTGAGCCTGAGCACATGGGGGCGGTGAAAGCGAACATTGACTAATACATAAAAGTTTGTTGCCTGTTACATCACGTTCATTAATAAATGCTATATAAATAATATATAACTTACTCTTTGGTTCTATTGGGTAAAGTCACGTAGGTGAAAATACGTGACTTTACCCAATAGAACCAAAGATTATGGATCCTAGCAGTCACGAAAGCTTTAAATCTAGAATATATAACTTGTTATAGAAATATTTTCATACCCCCATCGAAGGATCGTAACCTTATCGTGGTGGTGGGGTCTGTGTGTTCTAATGACCCTTAGAGCTATGTCTCTTGGAGTCTTGTACTCCTGGTAGGGTGTCCCTTGGTGAACAGGTCTGGGGAGAGGTTTCAGAAAAATAACGGTAAAAAAACCGCTCATGAATGGTTAAACAATACAATAATTCAGGGAACCTCGCCCGTACAATGGATAGCGGGACACACCCCTCTAGCCGGGTCTCGGGGTGGTGTTCACCAGCAAGAGCCTGGTGGCCAGGTGACCCATGTAACCCGGTCGGGCCCAGTTCGAAATGACTATGTAGTGCCATCCTGTGGGCCCACTATTCGCAGGACAAAGGGTGAGTGGCGGGTGCGATGCCTGTATGGCAGGGAGAGGGATGGTCTCAGATGGACTGGACCTTGGCGATGGACACTTGCTATTGGGACGTGGAATGTCACATCACTGGAGGGGAAAGAGCCAGAGCTGGTGGAGGTGGAAAGGAATTGACTAAATATAGTCGGTCTTACCTCCACAAATAGCATTGGCACTGGATCCAAACTTCTCAATCGGGGGTGGTCTTTCTCCTATTTTGGAGTAACCTCTGGTGAGAGGCCTAGGCGGGTGTGGGGATACTCATAAGCCCCCTGCTGGGTGCTGTTCAGTTGGAATTAAGTCCCAGTGGATGAATGGGTCGCGCCAATGAGACTTCGGTTTTCAGACAGGAAAACTTTAACTCTTGTCTGTGCTTATGTACCAAACAGCAGTTCAGATTATTCGGCCTTCTTGGAGACGATAGGTGCAGTGCTCGACAGAGTGCCATCTACCAACTCCATAGTCTTACTGGGCGACTTCAAAGCTCACGTGGGAAACGATAGATATACCTGGAGAGACGTGATTGGGAGGAATGCGCCTCCTTGATCTGAACCAAAATGATGAAATGTTATTGGAATTCTGCGCTAGTCACGGAATGTCAATAGCAAACACCATGTTCAAACAAAGGATGTTCATAAGTGTGCCGAAGGTGAATTATTGACTTTATAGTTGTATCATCGGACCTAAGACCGTATGTTCTGGAGACTCAGGTGAAGAGAGAGGCAGAGCTGTTAACTGATCACCACCTAGTGGTAAGTTGAATCCGATGCTTGGGGCACCGACCAGATAGATGTGGAAGGCCCAAACGAATAGTTATGGTTTTCTGTAAACGTCTGGTGGAAGACTCAGTGCAGAAAAATTTCAACTTCCACCTCCGGGAACATTTACCCTGCACTCCAGGGGAGGTCGTGGACATTGATTCCGAGTGGACAATGTTCAGGACCTTTATTGTGGATGCAGCTGTGAAAAGCTGTGGCCTGAAGGAAGTTGGTGCCTGTCATGGTGGCAATCCTAGGACCTGCTGGTGGACACCAGTGTTGAGGAAAGCTGTCAAATTGAAGAAAACGGCTTTCCTAGCTATGCTCAGAAAACAGTATCCAGACTCGATTGAGAGGTACTGGCTTGCTAAGAGGGCGGCAGCTGCAGCAATCGCTGAAGCGAAAGCCTGGGCATGGGAGGAGTTTGGAGAGGTCCTGGAGAGGGATTACCGGGAAGCCTGAAATATGTTCTGGAAAACCATCTGATGCCTTTGGAGTGGTCGACGGGACATGACCCAGGCTGTTTTCAGTAATGGTGGCATAACATTGACCTCAACTAAGGAGATAGTTTAGAGGTGGAAAGAATACTTTGAGGAGCTCCTCAACCCGGTGGACATCCCCTCTGCTCAGGAGGCAGCTCTGGAAACAGCTAGATGGTTGGATACATCACGACTGCTGAAGTTGCTGCAGCAGTCGAGGGCCTTCATAATGGAAAAGCTGCAGGGGTGGATGAGATTCGCCCAGTTGTTAAAAGCGCTGGACAGTGTAGGGGTGTCGTGGTTAACACGCCTCTTCAATGTTGCATGGAAGGCGGGTACAGTACCTCTGGATTGACAAACTGGGGAAGTGGTTCCCATAAAAAAGGGGACCAGAGGGCGTGCTGGAGAGGAGGCTCCGACCAGTGGGCGAGCCTCAGATTCAAGCGGAACAATCTGGATTCCGTCATGGTAGTCGAACAATGGACCAGCTATTTTCCCTATCACAGATATTTGAGGGGTCATTGGAGTATGCTTCTCCAGTCTAACTCTGCCTCGTAGACTTGGAGAAAGCATATAATCATGTTCTCTGTAATGTCTTGTGGGAGGTGCTGCGAGTGTATTATGTACCGGTGCCGCTTTTGTGCGCTATCTAGTCCCTCTATTCCCAGAGTGAGAGCTGTGTCCGTATTCTTGGTGTTAAATTAAAGTCGTTCACTGTGGGTGTTGGACTCCACCAAGGGTACATCTTGTCTCCACTCCTGTTTGTGATTTTCATGAACAGGATATCAAGACACAGCCAAGGTATGGTGACTATCCAGTATGGGGGCATGGAGGTGGCGTAACTGCTTTTTGCAAATGACGTTCTCTTTGCCTCGTTTGTCTGTGATCTCCAGCATGCACTTGAATGGTTTGATGCTGAGTGTGAAGCGGCTGGGATGAAGATCAGCACCTCCAAATCTGAGGTCATGGTTCACTCCCGGGAGATGGACGGATTGTTTTCTCCAAGTGAGAGGGGAACAGCTGCCCTTAGTGGAGGAATTTATGTACCTCGGGGTCTTTTTCGTGAGTGATGATAAGTGGGAGCAGGAGATTGGCCGGTGGATTGGTGCGCATTGTTTTGCGGGCACTGTACCATTCCATGGTAGTGAAGCAAGAGCTGAGTTCTCGACCAACATGCTCTCGGTTTACAGGTCGATCTACATTCCCACACTCACCTATGGTCATGAACTTTGGATAATGACCGAAAGGATGAGATCACGGGTACAAGGGGCCGAAATGAGATTTCTGCACAGGGTTGCCGGCTCACTCTCTGTGATCGGGTGAGGAGCTTGGTAATCCGGGAGAGACTCAGATTCCTGCCGCTGCTCCTCCGGATCGAGAGGCGCTAGTTGAAGTGGTTTGGGCACCTGGTAAGGATGTCCCCCAATAGACTCCCCCTGGAACTCTACCGGGCACGCTCCACTGGGCAGAGACCCCGGGGCCAGCCCAGGACACGCTGGTCGGACTATGTTGGCATCGGAATGCCTGGGAATTCCCCAGGAAGAGCTAGAGTCTGTCGCCAGGAAAAGGGAGGTCTGGACCACCCTACTCAACATGTTGCCACCACGGCCCTCACCACGACAAGCGGACTGAGAAACGAATGAACGAACGAATATTATCATACCTTTCATACACTTAAATGTAAGTTTTCCTCCCATGTACAGTTTTGGAGATCCACAGCAAGGCACTTTTGAAGTATATAGAGCATATGAAACTAAATATATATTTTTTTATTTTACCATATAAGGCAAACTGAGCTATATAGCTCAATTTCACAAGCAGCCTGCCACAAATGATATTTCAATGAAGTGGCTTATCACGTGGAAATGTATAGCAGCCAAATACTCTAAACGCATGTTTCTGAATGTGGAGAGGAAAAACCGAAGGACCCGGAGAAAAATCCACGCGACCACAGGAAGAGATACATGCAAATTCAAAATCTACAGCCATCAGGGTCAGGATTGAACCCACGAACCTCTTTTATACCAGGTGAGGTAGTTAACATCTTGCCTCCATGGCCCTCCCCATATAGATGTGGACAACCTGATGTTACACTAGTCCCTGGTTCCTTCTGGAACGACACAGTCGAGTACAATTTTCACTCCCACCACAGCATTCTGGGCCGTTCCAGCCCATTTCCACCCTGGTTATAGCTGCTATGTCTGTCTTACGCAGGACATGGCGGTGATAATTTCCGCAGCTCCAGTCCCCAGTGTCACGTAGGGGATCTTCTCCTCTGGGATCTTTGCCTCCTTGAACACGTACGTGGAATAGAAGTAAATCTGAAAACCAAAATACAAAGATTCCCCGTATAACCTCAACAGACTATGAGAACAAGTACTCCATAATAGAGGTTTTTTGGGTTATGTCGCGTAAATATATAAATGTGTCGTTCAAACCTGCCACTACTGGCCAAGACTAATTAGATAATCTATCAAAATTGATAGAAATCAAAATGATTTTAACCGTTCGGATAGCTACCGCCTTAGTGCTACGTGGAAGTGAATAATAAAAGAACACATTATTTAAATGCATGCCTATGAAGGGCACTATACTTCAAAAGGGATTACCGTTGGTACGGCTATTTTAATACACACAATAGACAGGAAGGACAAGATCAAAGGGCTCGCATAATGCACATGCATAATGTACGTAGCCTCATTAACCCACCCCCCCCCCCCCCCCACTTTGCACAAGAGCGCATAAGTGTCACCACATCTACACCTCTATACAAAACAATTAGGCTTCTCCACAAATCTGGCTGTCGCCTGATGAAGCTAGTTGTAATTACTGGCAAAACGTCGTACTCAGATTATAAATGTTGTGGCTTGGCTCTCCAACACGCCAGTGTGCTGTACTTGTGACGAATTGGCATGTTCTGGTCACGTGACAACCCTTACTATTTGGCTGTGTCAGGTGATGGCGGATTTTAACGACACATTTATATATTTACGCGATATAACCTAAAAAAACCTCTGTAATGGATGATATTGGTCGTGAAAGCGTGTTAAACAGGACAAATACTGTCAGTGAGCACCTATGAAGGTCGGCATGGCACACGAGGGGTTGGGTGACCGCTTTTTTCTCCCCAGTGGCGATGTTTACGGTACACATTGCACCAGTTACTCATTTAAGGCTGAGTCGATCTTGTGGAAGCCCAGGACCAGTTCCGATATTCGTCACTGGTGTTGGCCATGAGCAGAATCGAAACTTTGGTCACTGGGTTTGTAGCACAGCGTGCTAACACACACAGATACATGTCCCCTGTATTGCTGGTAGTGTGTGTATAAGTTTGGGGTTTATCGCCTCTGAAAGGCGAAATCGTAAAACTTTGGAAAGGCGCAAAAACACATTTCTATAATTTGGGTCTACAACAGCAGACACACCAAACGACCACTTGCATGAACACGAGACCGAGTCCAATCCCAGCCTGTTTTTTTTTTTTCAAAATATATGTAACCTCATCTCCGGAATTGTCACAGAAAAAAAGTTATACAAACAAAATCTCAGTTGCTTTTGTCTCAAACCCCTGTTCTATCAAGATAATCAGATTCCAGGGCAAAGATCAAGGAAAAAAGTAACTAAGATCTGCAAAATGAATATGCAAGTATTTCCAGGAATCACATGCCAATGAAATAACCTAAGTCACATTAACAAGATCAACTCTAATGGCAGTAGAAAGTTCCTGATCATGATGAAAAAAGTACGATTTTTTTACCCTTTCTGGCAATTAAACAGCAGGTGTTAAGATATTCAAACACCAAATAGATACATTTTGCAAGAAATCAAGTCTGCATTAACCACACATATTTGTGGCAAAATAGGCAAACAAACATCCTCCCCGTGGTCGCATGTATTTTTATCCAGGTCCTCCAAGTTTTCCCTCCACATTTAGAAACATACGTTCAGAGTATTTGGCTGCTACAAATTTGCCCACAAAACGCCACTTTGCTGAGCTATCATTTGTGGCCAGGTCACTTATGAAAAAGACTTACATAGCTCAATTGTGGACCTTACCTGGTAAAATAAACATTGTTTAGTTTTTAGTTTAGTTTATATTCTGCCACCAGAAGACTATGACAAATATCTTCTTCTGGAGGTTTTGTGTTTATTGATTTATTTACATTAACTCTACTGACATACCAGGACTGCCTTACATCTCTGGACAGGTAGGGCACTACACCTACACATGTTGTTAGGGCGAGGTTTGCGAGCGATGATGTATAAAGCCCGGCACAAAATACGAGAGGCTGGTGTGATGAACAAAGAGCAGAATATTAGGTTTTACTAATAACTCCTGAAACCCAGTTGGAACAAATCTGCCATATAATTGTTGGAATTTGAATCAGGCTTTGGCTATATTGCTCTAGAAGTGATTGAGTGAGGTGCAGGTATTGCGTGGATCACCGCATTCAGTCCACTGAGCTGCTGAGTGACGTTGAGCAGAAGCACGGTGATAAGTTGCCACCTCGTTCCGCGGTTCCTCATCACATCCCACACGGACCTGGGGCCCTCAGACATCTGTTCCTGCTCCGCTCTCATGGCCAAAAGCTCCTCATCCAGTCGGTGCTCCAGGGGAGAACCGCCAGTGCCCTGACCAATATCAGCACTGTTACCATCACCACCACCAGCAGCAACATCACTACAGCTGCCACCACCATTACTGCCATCACCACCACGTAACCATGCGAGCACTGCAAAGAGACACGAACACACATTTTATGTTTTGTGACTCCCGCATGATTTAGAATATTTGGCCTAGAGCTGGGATGTCAGTTAAAGAGATTCAACAAATATGTTTCCATGGTAGATCACTCGGGCCCCTTTAAAATTAGGCGACTGCCCCACACCCTGCCTCCCAAAGGCAGGAATCCTCCTACAAGCCATGCCTAGTGTGGCCTAAAGCTTGTAGTGGGCATCCTGTGGCGATCTCTGTGTGTGTGAGCATGAGTTCTTGTTTTAACCATTTGCAACTACAATTAGTACCATTTGTTCTGTGTATGTGTAGTAAAGGGGGTCACCTTAATTCTGGTAAAGTTGATGAAATATTAATTAAACTGTTGTGTACAGTTTTGCTATTCGGGTGTCAACTTTTTAGAAATTGGACACGTTGATTAAACGGTTGTTTCCCAAAATGTGGAGACACAATCAGCACAAAAAAATCTCATCTCTGTATTCTCGCCCTACTTCCTAAGCCAACATCCCTGCCCTGCTATCTCATCATGGCCTACACGCATACCAGCCCTGCTCATTATTATTGCTGATATATAAATATTTCCAAGGACAAATGCTGTCTGAAATGCATTACAGATTACAATCAACGCAATGCTAACAGACTTCACAATGCGCACTGTTATGACAGAAAGTCACACGAAGAGATTAAATAATCGCCTCATAAAAGAGTACACCCTGACTCCGGCATTATTCAACCTCTACATCAGTAACATTTTATCAAGAGTCTCGCAAAATCATTTATGCAGAAGATATTGCACTGGCTAACCCAAGTCTCTAAATGCGAGAAAGCGGAGAGAACCCTGGAGGTGGACCTAACAATGCTAGAAAATAACTTCAAAGCATTATGCTTGAAGCCGAATGCAGGGAAAACATCAGTATCCACCTTTCAATTGATAAAAAAAATTGAAGGATCGAGGCCACTCAAGGTCAATTCTGTGGTGCCCTTCGTAACCATGACCACAGACCCAGATACCTCGGAGTAACCCTTGACTGGACTGTCACGCTGTCGACATCACCTCAAAGCCTATAGCAAGAATATTAAATACAGAGTCAACAGCATTCAAAAGCTAGCATGGAATTCCTGGGGATGTAATACAGGGATGTTTTGGACATCAATGCAGGCCCTGCTCCATTCTCTAGCAGAATATCGCGCTAAACATGTCTGGTGCAACAGCTCTCACATTGGGCTCGTTGGCACTAAAATAAATGCTGTGCTGGGTGTGGCCAGTGGCTCCCGTGTATCTATAACCACTGCAGTGGCTGTCAGTGCTCGCAAACATCCCAATATCATCCATAATAGAGGTTTTTGGGTTAGATCGCGTAAAAACCCGCCACCACCCGACACAGCCAACTAGTAAGGGTTGTCACGTAAACAGAACGTGCCAATTCGTCACTAGTATATCACACCGGTGTGTTGGAGAGCCAAGCCACAACATTTACAATCTGAGTACGACATTTTGCCAGTAATTACAACTAGCTTCATCAGGCGACAGCCAGATTTGTGGAGAAGTCTTACTGTCCCACTATCAAGAATCTGATGGGATGATGCAACGCTTAAGGGGTATTTTTTAAAGATCTTGGGAAATCCAAATGTTACCCCCTCTGCATATCGACACCAAATCTCCACCACCCTCCCATCTGAAAAAGAGACATGAATTTTGGATGCATGCCTCGACTCTTCCATAAGTTGAAAGGAGCCTGCCACCTAATGGCACAAGATGCCGGAAAACAGAGGTGTTCCAAACAAGAACCTTCCTGAATTATTGGCAAAGGAACAGCCTGGTTTATCTCTGCCCCAACGACAGTGGACCACTCTCAACCTTGTCCGAACATATAAAAGGTGTGGATAGTTCCTTCCTGATGCCGAGAGGTTGTTGCATGCCTTAATTTATTCAAGGTTGGCTTACTGTAACACCTTGCTTGCTGGCGTTTCTAAAAATATTTAAATAGATTACAACATATTTAAAACTCAGCTGCCCGGCTTTAAACCAGATCTAAATAGTATGACCATATTGCTCCTATTATTTCATCCATGTACTGGCTGGCTCCCTGTAAAATACAGAATCGACTTCAAGATGATTCTTCTCGCGTTTAAGGCCTTGAATGGGCTGGCTCCTAAATATCTGCAAAAATTTTAGATCAGTTGATTCTGGTTTACTCATAATTCCAAAGGCAAGACTGGTGGTGTTGTATGGGGGATGGAGCGTTCTGCAGCCAGGATCCACGTGTGTGGAATCCCCGTCCTTGTTCTATTGGGAATTCTGAGTCTGTTTCACTTTTTAAATCACGCCCTAAAACTCACCTATTTTTACAGGCTTTCCCCGTAACTTAAGATGTGAGAGCCAATGCTTATGCATTAGCTTTTCCTGATGTCCGATTATATACTGTTTCACTACTATTTGATTTTGCATAGTTTGTTCATTGTATTGCCAATTGGAGCGTAGTTGTAATTTTATATTGTTATTATCAGCTTTTATTTCTCTTCTTTGGTTCTTTCGGTAAAGTCACGTAGAATGAGAATAAAATAATAAATTGTTATTTTATTTTATCAATTTATTATTTTATTATTGTGTTATTTTATTTGATCAATTTATTATTTTATTATTGTGTTATTTTATTTTATCAATTTATTATTTTATTATTGTGTTATTTTATTTTATCAATTTATTATTTTATTCTCATTCTACGTGACTTTACCGAAAGAACCAAAGAAGATGAATCCTTGCAGTCACGAAAGCTTTAAATCGAGCTTTTATTTCGGTTAGATTTAATATATACTCGTGAGTTATTTTTTCTGTGCTTTGAGATATTTCGATATGAAAGGAGTTTCATAACATAGAGGTTAGGATTATTATTATTTTAAAATCAAGGATTAAACCAAACTGCAAATGCAGTGAAGTGCAAACCATGAAGCGTCTCACTGATTACTGTCCAACACAACGAGCTGCATTCTCGTAGAATAACAGGACTCCACTCAGCCACCCGAGATGCCATGAAATGGCTTATAAAATAAATAAGACGATTATAGCCTGTTACTTTTTCAAACGCTATACGAAAGAATCGTTTTTTTAAGAGAAAAAGTAGTGAATAATAAGAATAGATTTTACCCTTTTTGACAATAAAACAGGGGGTGTTGAGATGTTCAAACACCAAATAGATACATTTTGCAAGGTATCAAGTTTGCATTAACCACACATGCTTGTGGTGTACATGCAAACAAAATATGCTCTGATAATATATGTATTGTCTTTGAAACTGATTGGCTTACACCAGACAGCCTTCTTCATGGCCTTGTCTCACCAGTGTCAGAACAGAGAACGCCAAAAGGTAAGAGTACAACGAGAATTGTGTTCGGAAGTGACGTGAAGAAAAAAAGAAAGGGATTAGAAACATTTTAAGAGAGAGGGGTAAGGACCTTGGCGCGCTTGCTGGGGCTGGCCTCTGTCGATGAGGAGGTAGCAGGGGCTCTCGGGGAAGAAAGGAAGCACGAGCAGCTGTGTGAGCGCCGGCAGCACAGGGAGCGCCAGTACCACAGCCCACAGCTGCTGCTGCCCTCCCAGCACCTCCCTGCAATAGACATACATAAACATCATGGGACCTCCTTTTCCAGTCCCAAAATATAATAGGCTTTTCCCCTTTTTTCTGGCAACAAAACAGGTGTTAAGATGTTAAAACACCAAACTGAAACCTTTAACAAGTGTAGTGTCCTGTAGAATCACTCAGTCAGACAAGTTGTTCAAGCCACCTGCTTACACTTTATTGCTCTCTCTGGCACCAGTTGTAGGCACTCCTATCTCTGTCTATACGGTCACTTTGTTAATCAACGTCCCCTATCTACTTTACACTTCGCTGACCTGCCTGCGGCAGCTCTTCCTCTCAGCAGCTCTGCACTCACAGTTCCGGACACAGACAGCAGCTCACACAGAGCTTGCAAACAGCAGCGCTACACAGTGGCTTCGCTCACACAGAGGCTTCACTCACACAGAGCTTGCACACAGCTGCCCTCTTTCTGCACCGCTGCCCTTGCCTACGTTCCCTCAGACCCATTCACTCATCCGATCCAGGCGGGGGGGATCAACCATCACCCGCCCGTCGACTCATGAGGGTTGAGGTCCGTCCTTGGCTTGAGCGGCAGCGGCGAGATGTCTTTACCTTGAGCCCAGAACCCGAACTCCCGCTCTGCTCTCACACACCCCCTTATATCCTCCTCCCAATTATCCAGCTTCTCCCTTGTGTCTCTTTAGGGCCCGCTGGTGCCTGTCAAGCCATCAATCACTCCTTATCGTACGTCTCCAAGACGACACCTCCGGTGCCAGCGTATGACCCCGGACCGACCCCGTCTGCAACCGAATCTCCCGTTAAAGGGGTAGCGGTTTGCACGTGCAACCTTAAGTTGCACACTCGCACCTGCCTTCCCTCAGTTGCCCTTGGGCAGCAGTGCGCACCGTGTATTTTACCACACTACATCATCCCCCCCCCCCCCCTCACGCATAAAAACGCAGCCATCCCGGCTGTAATATACATCCCTCGTGCGCATGCAACATGACAACACCTAACACAACTCTATAGTGACCAGTGACCGACCCTTAACTACAAGGCAATCATAAGCAGTGACCATGAACAATAACAAGAACAAGGGAATGGGGAATTAACAAAAAACGACGTGTCGCGAACGGGTATGTGCAGCAGGCCCGTCGCCGCGGGTAGAGACGGGTCCGCTTGAGTGTAATGAGTGGTCCGATGAGGGAGTCCGCAACACTCCGTCTGTGGTCCTTAGGGCCTCTGGCCCTGCAGGCGGTACAGAACATTCCTCCTCATGGCCTGTTACTTTAAGCATGGCGGTCGGCGTACCGGACGCATCAGACACTGGCCAGCAGGGATGTGCGGATGAATCGACCGGATCGGATGGAAAGTATGTTTTTAACCGCGAAGGATGCACAAATCAGCGCCGCCGGCCCAAATGGATACGCACACAATGTGGCCGCCGAACCTCAATGACCTCGACGGGCCCGTGCCAGGGACTGTACAGTTTCGGGGACGTGCCCACAGGCACCTGAGGGCAATGTAGCCAAGCCTTGTGCCCCACTTGCCACGGTATTCAGGGCCCTTCATGACCCTTCAGCCACTCGTTATAGGCCTGTCTGCGGGCCGAGTTGACCCTAGCGGCTTCACGGTCCAACCGCAGCTGCTCCAGTGTTTTCAACATGGGGTCAGGAACTGACGAACTTTTCCGTGGGGGGCTCAGTCCCAACTGAATTTGCACAGGGGGTTTGGGCACCCTCCCATACATCAAATAAAACGGTGAGAACCCCGTCGAGGCATTGGAAGCAAGTCTGTTAGTCGCAAGTACCCTTGGCGTGTGCAGATTCCAATCCGACTGTCCCTCAGTCACTTGCTGGCATAGCATAGCAGTGAGGGTTCTATGCAACCGCTCAACCATCCCGTCAGTTTGTGGATGATATGGTGCATATTTTCTGCATGCCCAAGGACTCCCACACTTGGAGCGATTTGGAGAAATCCCTACCTTGATCCGTGAGCGGTTGCTCCGGGGCCCACATATCCAGAACATAGCTGTTCACAAAAGTGTCAGTTATAGACACAGCTGACTGGTCAGCCAAGGGCCAGGCCATAGGCCAACGAGTCAGATATTCGACCCCCACGAGGAGGTACTTGTGTCCTCTCCGGGAGACTGGGAAGGGACCCAAAATGTCCAGGGCAACCAATTCATTCACCCGTGACACAACAATAGACTGTAGCGAAATCTGCGGTCACGTGGCAGGAAATTTCCGGCGCGCACAATCAACACAACTTTTAATCAGGAGAAGGACATCACTCTCCATTCCGGGCCAATAAAAGTCCTTTTTCAATGTCGCCAACGTTTTATGCACACCCAAATACATCAACTTTTCGTGTACGGCCTTTGAAAGTTTGTCACTAAGGACCTTGGGTATGATCAGAGCATATTGCTGGGACTCCCACTGCATGAGGAGTCCCTCCCGCAGCATAATGGAAAGGCGATCCGCAGGACCCGGGCCCCAAGAAGCACGACGGCGCAACATCAACAACGAAGCATCATCAAACTGCAGCTTAGCCCACGTATCATGGTCGAGATTTAGAATAGAATCACATGGCGACTGAGCGCCCGCATCCCGCGTTGTCCCTGCTGCCGCAAACACCATGGGCGCCTCCCCTTGCGGGGGCTTACATCTCAACGTGCCTGAAGCACACGTGCACGCAGCATGGGGTGGCCATTGGAACAACTGTCCAGACAGCTGGTCAATGCGCGGGGAATACTGGAGGGCTGCATGGTCTGTGCGGACTACAAAGTCCCGTCCGTACAATTAAGGACGATAGCGCTGAATAAAGTGGACCATGGCCAGTAGCTCCCTGCACAAGACGCAATAGCGCTGCTCGGCAGGAGACAGGACTCGACTGCCATAAGCAACCACTCTCTCCAATCCCTCGGTAAGCTGGGAAAGCACTGCCCCGATGCCCGTGTCGCTGGCGTCCGTGTCCAAAACGAAGGGTTTAGTGAAATCGGGGTATGCGAGTTGGGGGGGGGGCATCAGCAAGGGCAGAGCGGAGGGCGAGGAAGGAATCCTCTTCAGCTCTATCCCATCAAAATCTCTGGCCCTTGGCCGAAAGGGCATGGAGCGTTTTTTCAATGTGGGCAAAATCTTTAATGAACCGCCAGTAGTAAGAAGCTAATCCAATGAAAATGCGGACGTCTGCTACCGATTTAGGAGCCTGCCACGTGCGCACATACAAAGTCTTTTTATGGATCTGTGGTGACACCGGCCGCACTAACTACATGCCCCAAGTACTTAACTGACGTCTGAAGCAAATGGCATTTCTGTGGCTTGAATTTCAATTTGGCCGCATGCACTCTCTCGAAGACCGAGCGCAATCACTGCATATGTTCGTCAAAGGTTTTGCTAAAGACGATGACATCATCCAAATATATGAGGCAAGAATCCCATTGCAACCCTGCTAGGACCAACTCCATTAACCGCTGAAAGGTAAACGGCGCTGAATTCAAATCCCATCGGAAGGCAATTCCAGTGATAAAGGCCTTGGGGCGCACGAAAAGTGGTCTTTGGTTTTGACTCGTCATCGAGGGGCAATTGTAAAAATCTGGACAACAAATCGAGCATCGAATATAATTGTGCGCCCGACAATGCATCGAGCGAGTCATCCATACGAGGCAGAGGGAACGCATCCGCCACCAATATTTAATTTAATTTGTGAAAGTCAACGCAAAATCTCAAATTTCCATTATGCTTCTTCACTAGGACAATGGGTGCTCCCCACGGGCTGTTCGACGGAGCAATAATATCTGCTGCTAGCATCAACAGCCAGGAGCACCTGTTCCTTCTCCGCGGGGCTGAATCTATGCGAATGAATTCGAACTGGGGGTGCATCACCCATATTAATGTGATGATGGAGGAGGGAAGTGCGCCCAATATCAAATTTGCCAGTGCTAAAGACGTCAGAAAAATAGTTCAAAAGCCGATGTAGTTGAGCTCGCTGCACTACCGTAAGTGCAGGGTTCTCAGAGCACAGGGATTCCAACTACGCAGAATTCGGCTCCTCAGCATTACTGACAGTTCCCACAACCAAACGAGCCAGCCCAGCATCATTAAGACAATGGAATGCTGAAGTGTGTGCCAGGACCGTACCCGCCTGAATCACAACCGGCGTGTGTCCCGCATTCAACACTTGCAGAAAAGGTGTCTGCATGGTGGACCAAACCGTCACAGCCCCCAAAAACGAATGGGGGTTCGTTGGGGTTAACAGGATCCCATCCTCTGACCCCAGAGAAGCAAACTCTGTGCAAATGCAGCGGCACGAGCATTTGAGAACCCGCAGGTATTTTAACGGTTTGGCTAGCCATCGCATGAACAACGGCGTTCTGCGATGGCTGTCGACCAGGGGAATGCAGGAACTGCAACCGCTGCCCCAACGGTAATTCAATGTATCCCTGATAGATTAGGATTTTGAAGGGCATCCTGCTCAGAAAATCGGTGCCCAACAAACAGGGCACAGCCAATGTTTGTGACACCAAAATTTGACCCTCCAAAAGGATCTCCTCGATTTTAACAGTGGCTGACATTTGTCCCAGAATACCCAGGCTCCCCCCGTAAGCAGCAACACAAGCGTTCTCCATTGGGGCAAAAGGATCAGATAACAAAGGCAACGTGTGGAACACGGCCTCGGAAACTATAGTCGCAACGGCTCCTGTGTCATCCAACAACCGAACTCAAATCCCCTGAATCAGCCCCTTAATTGTTGAAGACCCCGCCGCGGCAGCCAAAACATGGTGAGCTAGCACGTCCCACTGATCTGCGCCGCGTGGCCAACACATGAATGAATGCGCACTCCCTGTACAACTCGCGACGGAATGAGATGTTACAGACTGATGCTGCACGCGACCTATACTAGATGGATGATGGGACAAGGACGGCCGTGTGTCTGATGCAACCGGACTCGCCTGTACGTTGCGGGAAGAGGAGTCGTTGAAGCCATAGGATGGATGGCGGCAGTCGATGGCGATGCATCCCACACTG